AACTAAGATATGTATCGATTAAAACTGGTTCAATGAATCATGAGTAAATCTCAATTATTTAACTTTGACAAGCAAATACTTGCCGACTGCTTTGGGTCATCAACGGCGGTCCCTCTGTAGCCAATCAAAAATGAGAGAAACAACAATGACAATTTGAATTAGCATTGGCACGTGTGTGTGTGGCTCAATACATGCAAGCGAGCGATAACAGGTCACTCTATACCATACTTCAAATAGTTCAAACGTTTTCTTTTCCCTTCGATAGAGTTATTTTATTATATCGATCATGTAACAAGACCAAAGATTATTCTCTAATGTGCGGAACAGTTTGGTAAAATGCACCGTTATTACAACGTGCTTTGTTAAAACCGAATGATTAATGAAATATTTGCCCAACATTGACAACTTCCGTGAAAAGAAGCATCTTGTCAAACGTACCTTTGTTAATAGTGTGTCTGTTTACCTGCATTTACCCATTGTCATCTGTGGTCAATGGAAAAGGGAACAAAGGTCTGTGCCAACATAACGTTAACTTTGTCAGGTTAGAAATCGGAACTGAGTTCGCTTGAAATACACGATTTGATGCGGCGCATGACAGGTATTTCATCAAATTCTAACTCTTCTCGGATAAAAACAGTAGCACTCCTAATTCACTAATCAGAATAACACCCTTAACTGCGTATCAGAATACGAGACGCCAAGATGCAGGAACAGGAACACATGTAGTTCTTTGAACGAAACCGAATGAAATAAATGTGTATAAAGCTGATTGGTTTCAGATACGCTATACAATCCCCATTCTCGTCCGAGCTCGTGCAATATTCTGGCCTGATTCTCGGCCGGTCTCGTTGAACCTGATTGCTCGCTGACACGAACTGCCTTTTGACTGGCGTTATCACGCAGTGATGAACCACACGAAGTCGATAATGCAAAAAAAAATTGGTCTGATCGCATACCCCCGTGGTCACGTTTGTAGTACAATTGCGTTCTGCCAATGAACTTTCGGTTTCGAGCCTTAGTCAGGTCGGTGGATTCACACTACTGACGAGACGCAACCAGGTGGGTTTAGGTTGCTGTCTTTTGGCCACCCAATTGGATGTGAATGTTGAAAGCAGGGTCCAATAGAAAATAGAGAGTTCATGTAGACTGAAGTTGCAAGGATAACGGATAGATGGATGAGTGACACTCGGCCATATCGCTGTCTCTAACCCCCGGTTACTATGATCCCGAAGTCCCCATCCAGGAAGCCTAAAGTAACCAGTATGATCTAGTCTGTGGTCAGGGTTTTCAGACCGGGACTGAGTTTGATCACCTTTCAACTCAAGAGGCATGAATAATCCCGCCGCGCGGTTGAGAATAGACTGTATATAATCGAACGCATATGCTGTTTGCTTTTGAATTGTATCAATGGGCGTTTTTCCCAGCCAGCTCGCCTTCTCGCTACAGTGGTGCCGTCGCCCAAGTCTGCACAAGGCAATGAAGCTACCCTGGGCAAACGCGTTTGCAGACGGATGTGGAGAAGTGGATTCGCGATTTTGAATTAATTGCATCGTGCAACGGCATCAAAGGGAGTGCGCACATGGTCACCGCGTTGGGTGCACTGCTCACCGGACGAGCGAGGGCCGCTTACGACTTGAATTTGGAAAGCAGCCAAGCCCTAGATTATGAGAATTTGAAATCTGCATTGGTGGCAGAATTTTCAAAGGAGGGTGACCGCGAGAGGGCGATGAACCGATCAATGATATCGGTTTGTCTGCTCTATCGAATACATCCAAACCGTTTTCGGGGGATCGGGACACTACCGATTGGACTAAGTTGTGACATATACAATTATGCAACCATTTTAGAGTAGTGGGCTTAAAATAGCATCACAACAACAACACAGTGTGGATATTGTATGAAAATGAATGTAATGCATCCGGAGATCCTGTCATCAACACTGGCTTTGGAAGCACAAAGTGTGTGACGATCATACCCATAAAATATCATTTTACACCTTGTTGCCATTTATTTATTTCACAGCATACCTGTGCATTTCAGCCCCATCCACTCGCTCCAGGAACGAGTAGATCTACTTATACACAGAGGCGGATCGTTCCCCCGTCGTTACCTACGTTAGTCACTTTTGGTCAACCTGACCAGACCTTTCAATCAACTTCGTATTTCAACTCACCTTATTTGGATTTCCGACTTCCTAATATGGTGAACAAGTAAGTGTGTAACCTCCGGTAGGATAAGGCGATTATGATCATATCATAAATTTCTTCATGTACACAACAAATCGAGCGTGAATGAGATAACGAGGAAGCACTAGACAGCTGTTTCAACCTGGTTGGGTCTCATAAGCAGTGTGAATCCATCGACTCAACTGCGGGTCGGAACTGGGACCTCGCCGGTAGAACGCAAGCGTACTACCCACTTAGACAGCCCGGGGCGGCTGAGCAGGCCGCATTTCAGTTTACATATGGATGACACAATGAATCACATCTTTGAAGTTCTAGCTTTATTTACGTGGTGCACGATGGAATTAACCGTTCGATCAAAAACAAATCCTCCGCCATTCTCATGTAGTAACGCAATTTCCTGGTCTAAATTAATTTGTCTTTCTTATTGTGTGTTGCACACCTAAGCCAATAAATCAAAGCGGATGATAACTGAAGCTATCTTTCTGTGATCATCGGAATAGTACTGAATGTGGAAATATGAGAACCCGTAATGTAATGCTCAGAACTGAATTGGTTCCAACCCGAACTGCGGACACCAATGAAATACACGGGGAATTGATAGCAGCAAATGCTTATGTTTATTGATGGAATTAGATCATGTTTTATAGAATGTAATAGTTCATATGATTGGTTGAACGACTGCCCTCCAATCACGTAACCGTTTGCGCCGACGCATCATATGTAATAACTTGGCCGTCATGTTCACCCGGTGTACGATTGACCGAGCTTCCTGAACGGTGATTCGATGACATGAAACTGTACCTGGTCGTGCGTGGATTGCGGTCACGGAAGTCTGGATCACCACAACTCTCATCTCTCAAGAGTGCCTCGTCAATCTGGCTCGCCTCACGGCTAGAGTTGCGGACTGCAATCGTTGGCTCCGCCTGTTTTTGGTGGTGTCCTTGCGTTTCGATTGGTTGTGTCTGCGCACCTGACTGATGCGGCTCCGTCGGGTGTTTTGACGGGGTATGCAACTGATTGTCTCCCTCGCTTGTCTCTTGATGCCGCTGGTCCGTGGATGGTTTGAAGCGAATATGGTCCACGTGTTGTTTTTGCACAGCAGCATCGTTCAAGTCGGTGATTTCCACCATGGTTGACCCAGTTGTCGTGTGACTATACCAGACGCGGGTCGCAAATCATTACCACGGAAGTATACGACGTCACTGGAGTCGAGGCACCGAAGGGAGGATCGCAAGCGTCTGGATTTAAAAAGCATTGCCGGGCTCTCCTTGGTGGTTCAGAAATGGACCACAGAAATCCAAATGAACCCTTTGCCATGGTTTATAACTTTCTGGCCATGGTGTCCAGTTTTTCGCACTTGCTCGTAGTTTATGTAAACATGACTCAGTTCTCGGCGGTTGCGTAAATTTCTGCGTCTAACTCCGGTCATCAACACATTTGTCTAGCCAATGATTTCATCTTCTCCACTCCCATATGTCCTTTATGCAATTCATCTAGTACCGTCTTTCGTAGTGGCTGCGGGATTACCAATCGATCGTCGCGACACAATACACCATCCAATTGTACTGACAACTCCTCT